GTACACGATCCCGCACCCCTCCCACCGCCCCAAGTACATTCCACTATGCAGCCTTAATTGTGGACTCTAGAAGATCTTTTTTAAATGATACTCATTCTTAGTCACTCAAGAAGAATTTTTTCTCTTAACTCATGTTCAATTTTTGTCTCCAGCAATTGCCCTCTGAGATCAGGAATTAGTAATTAGTGGAATCATGGTTGACGGCTACTGGGAGTGGGTTTTTTTAGGGGAACGATGAAAATGTTCTAAAAGGGATTACTGTGATGATGGCACAACTCTGAATATACTTAACAACCGTGGAGTTGTACTCTTTAATTGTGTTAACTGAATTACATCTGAATAAAGCTATTTTTTAATGAGCATGATCTTAATCATCCTAAAACTCTTAATATCTTTTCAGCTAAGCATCTTCAAGATCTTCTCATGGAAGGTATGGATTTTTCACCTGCCAGTCTCTCTAATACTGGTTTCAGGTATCTGAATTCTTTGGTTGAAATCGCACTGCTGCTTGAAACAAAAGACACGTCACTAACTAGGTAATTCTTATGATCATTTACCTTTCGGCTTTCATGTTTCAAATTCTATTTAAAAGTGAACAATACCAAAATGCTGCCTTTAGGTAGCTCCTGTGCTTTTGCTAGTAAATATGATTATTTCAGATAAAGTTGAGCATTGGATAATTTTTATTGTTTGTGAATTCCAGGTTAGGTTTCTAGGGTTAGTTCTTAGGTACGTGTAGAGGGGGTTTGTTATCATTTAACATTTTGCCCCCATAAACAGTGAGAAAAGTAGTAGCTGAAATGATCTGGCTGAGAATAATGGTTCTATCCCTTCCCTACTGAGTAGAATAGGTTGTTTTGTTGTGTCCCTTCAAGTCAGAACTGACCTACAGCTGACCTTCCAGTAGGTTTTCAGAGGCAGTTAATCATCCAGGAGGAGACTGCCCATCCTTCTTCATGGAGCAGCTGGTGGATTTGAGCCATGTGCCTTTGGGACTGCAGTACAGCTTCTTACCACTAGGCCACCAAAGTCCCTAGAGTAAGTTAAGGTTGCTCATTTTTTATGGCAGATACCTCCATCTATATAATGACAATCCCTTTTCCAAGTCATTAAATCAAACCCAGTCTCATTATTCCATCCTTATGTCTATTAATGGTTCTAGACCAAGAAGCTGTTGTCTGTACAGAGCAAGAAAAAATTGCATGGTTTAAAATCATGAAAGGTGTGCATCACGACTGTATCCTGTCTCCATATCTGTTCTAGCTCTGTGCTGAACAAACCATTAGAGAAGCTGGACTTTATATTAAGAAGAGTGTGGCATCAGGACTGGAGGAAGACTACCTACATTACACAGATGACACAGCCTCCCTTGATTGCTGAAAATGAAAAGAACTTGGAACACTTGCTGCTGAGGATGAAGGAAGGACTTGAGCCTCCAGTATGGATTAAATCTCAACATCAGACAAACAAAAACCTCACCAGTGGACGAAGAGGCAACATCATGATAGAGAAGAAAAAAAAAGACTGAAATTATCAAAGATTTTCATCTTACTTAAATCCACAATTAATACCCTTGGTACTAGCAGTCAGGAAATTTGGAGATGTATATAGCATTGGGAAAGTATGCTGTTAGGGACCTCTCCAAAATCCTGAAGGGCAATAATGTCAGTTTAAAGACTAAGATGCACCTGCTTCAAGCCATAGTCTTTATAATCACCTGCTATGCCTCTGGGAGCTGGACATGAATAAGGATGACAGGATGGGAAATCTATGCTTTCAAGTTATGTTGGAGAAGAATACTGAATACCCCATGGACTTCCAAAGGAACAAGCACACATGTCTTAGAACAAGTGCAACCAGAATGCCCCGTGGAGGCAAGGATGGCGAATCTTCATCTCACATCCTTTGGACCTGGTAGTACGAGAGACTATTTCTTGAAAAAGGACATCATGGGGAGCTCTGGTGGCCTAGTGGTAAAGAGCTGCAACTACAATCCCAGAGGCACACGGTTCGAATCCACCAGATGCTCTGCCGGGAAAAGGAGGGACAATCCACTCCTGTACCAGTCAGATCTGATTTGATGGTACACTCACACAAAAATAAAAATTAAAAAAAAAGAAAGAAAAGGGACATCATGCTTGGAAAGGTGGAGGGATGGGGAGGATTAATATAGATGGATTGATATGGTGTCTGCAGCCGTGGGTTGACAGTGTCAGGGATAATAAAGATGGTACAGGATGAGACAGGGTTCAGATCTCTTGTTCAAAAGGTTGCCATGAGTTGCGTCATACTCAACTGCACTTAACAACAACAACTACAACAGATTTTAGCTAGAATTTCCTCTCCAGTTTATTATTACACTGAGAGAAATACACAGCTGTTTTGCTTAATTGCCTATATTTAAAACTCAAAACCAAATCTTTTGGTGTTGATTCTGACTCATCGCGATCCTTCATCATGAATCTTTCTAAGAGGCGACCACCTCATCTTTCCCCTTTGAAGGAACTAGTGAATTTGAGCTGCTGGCCTCTTGGTTAACTGCGTCGTATGTGACACAGTACTCTGCTAAAGCTCCTTCGTTACTCATGTTGTTGTTGTTTATCACTGAGTTGGAACTGACCCATAGCTGAACCTCCAGCAGGTTTTCAGAGGCAGTTAATTGCACAGGGGATTGCCCATCCTTCTACTACAGAACACTGGTGGATTTGAACCACATGACTTTGGGATTTCAGCTCAGTTTCTTACCACTAGGCCACCAGAACTCTCTGCCTCCATTAGGGCTTGAAGTTTATATATATGCTCAAATGGTGGTGTTCTAAGTAGAAGACCTTGTAGGCTGTATGACCACAGAAATCCAGCCTCTTTAGCTACATCGGTTCAGCTGACACCAAATGCCAGTTATGTGCCAATCATGCTGTGAGCAAGAGGGCAGCAGAGGTGATTGGTAGCCACTTTCAAGGACAGTTTCTGCTCAAAGAGAGATAGACAAACAACGCTATAGTATTACAGCTGCAATAATACAAGAAGGTATAATCTGCAGCTGGTTAGCACAGAGGAAGGAGTAATAAATTCTAGAATGGGAGGGCATTGGGTCTGAATTTTGAAGAACAAGTGGAAATTTGCCAGTTGAAGGGCTTTCGTGGACTGGAAGAAGATGTGAGAACATGTGCGTAGAGGTGTGCATAGGAGGTGTGTGTAGAGGTGTGGTTATACAAGAGTCCACAGAGGTAAAGACATTTTTGGAAATGACAGATGACGATAGTTCTCATCCTTAGGTATCATCCATGTATGTGGTCACTTTCTTCTTTCAGCTTCATCCCTGCATTGAATGATTTGACCTCTGATTTTTTTCGAACCAAGTACAAAAATGAAGAAATAGAACTCGAATTGACAAAACTTGGAAAAAACCTAACTGCAACTTTAGTATTAGAAAAGCATCTACAAGAGTAAGTGATTAAGGGAGAGGGAGAGGGAGAAAAAAAAGAAACAAAAACCCAAAACCATTAGGACAGCAGAGATTAGTGGACAGACGGTGGTGGGGGGAGGAAGAAGTGGTACAGTACAATGGGGGTTTAATGGGAGGGAGTGATAAAAGGCCTTGCTCAACAGTAATTAATGATATAAAACATGTAGATGAATGATTGTATAAAACAGTTTACATGAATAAAGCACAAAGTATGTGAATGATTGTATGAAAGCAATTTTTAAAAGAATTATCATTTCTATAATAAAAAAGAGAGTAAAGAGTTAAAAATTGTTTCCTAGGGCTGCCATAACAAATTACCACAATTGGGATGGCTTAAAACAATAACGACTTCTTTCCTCACAGTTATGGACACCAGAGGCCCCAAATCAAGGATCAGCCTCTCAGGATCTAGGAGAATCTTTCATTGCCTTTCTCAGTGTCTGGTTGACTCCTGGCATCCCTTGCTTGTAGCAGCATTAACATTCATCTTGGCCTCCATCTTACCGGGCATTCCTGTGGGAAACTCTTTGTCTCTGAATGTGCTCCTGTTGCTCATTGGATTTAGGGCCCACTCTGTCCACTAGTACAGGGATTAAGCACTCACCTACTAACCAAAAGGTCAGAGGTTCAAACCTACCAGCCATTCCATGAGATAGATGTAGCAGTCCACTTCCCAACTGTTATCGAGTTAACCTGACTCATGATGACCCTCTATTGAGTTTTGAAAGCTGTAAATCTTAAAAAGAGCAGACTGCCTCAACTCTTTCCCAAGGAGGGTATTCAGAGCAGCCAACACTTACCCACCATGGCACCAGAGCACCTGCAAAGAGATCAGAAGCTTGGAAACACAAGGGGACAATCCTAACCTATAGGACAGCTCTGAGTTGGGACTAACTCCACAGCAACGTTCCAATACTCATCTCAGTTCCTCCAATGTAATTACATCTGCAAAGGTCCAATTTCCAGGTCACAGCACTGAGGTTATGAGTAACATGAATTCTTGGAGATACTAACCAGTCCTTGGAGAGGGACATCATGTTTGGGAGGGTGGAGGGACAGTGCAAGAGAGGAAGACCCTTGATGAGATGAATTGATTCAGTGATTGGGGTAATGAGAGTAGGTGTGTCAGAGACAGTGAGTTTAGCACAGGATAGAGCACGGTTTAAGGCTCTTTTACATAGGGTCACTATGAGTCACAAGTGACTTGACGGCACATAACAATATTCAACTAATTATGTGACTGATATCCATTTTTATTATTAAAGCAGTAACATGACATTGTCAGATTTACTTTGTCCAGTGGAAGGGATTTTAAACAATATGTGAAGAAATGGAGCCCATAAAATATTCTCTGAAGTAGAAAATATCATGGTTGTGGGAAAGTGAGCAGTGTTTACTTTTTACACAATTTCATATCTTTTTTTGTTGTTACAGTAAACATGGATTTTATAATTTTTAAAATGCACTTGAACACTTGTAATTATAAGACTTCTGAAGTTTTGTGCCACTGAGCTGTGAAGTCGCTATGATACTCGAACCTTCTTTGTGTCTTGATTATTCCAGTGATTAGTGTGGAATGGTAGGGTATGTGTATCGAAGTAATTTGGTAGTAGGTAAATTCATCAGCCAGTACTCATGACATATTTAATAGTGAAACTTTGGCACTTCTACATTTAGGAGCTTTAGTGGCCTCTTGGGCAAGGAGTTGGGCTGCCAACCCAAAGGCATATGGTTCCAATCCAGCAGCTGTTCCTGAGACAAAGATGGCCAATCTCCTGTGCAGTTTCTTTGAAAATCCACTGGAGGGTCAGCTGTGAGTCAGTAAAAAAATCATTGAAAGGATACATAAGAAAACATGCACCAGTTCAGCAGTTTGTAAATATGCAACCATGACACACTGAGATTAATTACATTCTTCTTGCTGTGACACCAACCTCAGATAACTCTTCTGAAGTGTGCTTCCACCATTAGCATGAGCTCACTATTCCCAGAGCTGAATTGTGTGTGTATATGTACGTGTGTGTGGACATCTGTAGCTTCAAACAATGGAATATTTTTCTTCCACATATCTGGAAGCCAAGGGCTGGAATGAAGGTGTGCACTGGGCCAGATTCTCCGTCACGCTCTGGGAGAGAATTTTCCTTTGCCCTCTTCAGTTTCTGGGGTTGCTTCACATTGTCTGACTTGTGATGACATCACCCTCATCCCTGCTTCCGCCTCTGCCTGGCCTTCTCTCAAATCTAAGTCACTTTTTAAAGCACAAGACTATCTTTCTCTAAATACATTTAATATGTTGTTGTTAGGTGTTGTTGAATCGAATATGACTCATAGTGACCCAGTGAACACCTGACCTGAACCCTTTCCTATCCTGTGCCATCCTCATCATTTCCGATACACTTGAACCCATTGCTGTCGTCACCCATCTCATTGAGGGTCTTCCTCTCCTTCACTGACTCTCCACCTTACCAAGCATGGTGTTCTATTCCAAAGATAGCGTCTCTTAGCAAAATGCCCCACATCTATACATATATGAGATGAAGTTTTGCCATACTTGTCTCTAAGGAGCATTATGGCTACACTTTCTCTAAGACATATCTGTTCTTTTCTCAGTTCATTGAATGTTCAGTACTCTTCTCTCACACCACAGCTCAAGGCATTAATTCCTCTTCTGACATCCTTTTTGACATAACTTAATCTTAAAATCTTGTTTTATTCCTTGAGAAAAATAACCAGCTAGAAATAGACAGGAGGCCAATCACTTGGAAGACTGCTTAATAGCTAGTCTGGGATGTAAAATTTATGGAACATAATCCATCAACTAGGTTATCTTTAATACATTTATATGGAGTTACACTCCAAAAGTAGTAGTTGTTATGTGTTATTGAGTTGCTTGCAACTCATAGCGACCCTATGTACAACAGCCCTGTAGCTCTATCCTGTGCTAACCTTATTGTGCCTAACAAACCTACCCTCATTGCCCCAGTCACTGAATCAATACATCTCATCAAGGGTCTTCCTCTCTTACACTGTCCCTCCCTCCATCCTCTTCAAAGACCGGTCCCTCCTTGCAGCATGCCCAAAGTATGTCAGATGAAGCCTCAGAATCCTTGCCTCCAAGGAGCAGCCGGATTTCACCCTCTCTAGGTTGTACCTGTTTGTTCCTT